CCTCACTAGGCGGGACACAGCCTAGCCGATATGACTTAAGTGACGGGTCGACATGTCAGTCTGCACTCGTCAACATGACAGGCCCGTACTAACATGTCAAACGTTAATACAGAGCGAGGTTGTCAAACTCTCATTGATTGATGATTAGATGAAGGTACAACAAAAACAACGGGGCAACTGGCATCTGGCGACAATTTGAATTTTGCTGTCGCTATTCAGAATGGCTTCAAGCTGTGATTGGAGCCACCAGAACGTGACACATGTCCTTAACAGTGTTTGAAGGTAGTTGAAATGCCGCATAATCTAACAAGTCGTACAGAACTCACATTAATAAGAAATTAATATTTACTTACTGTCATTATTACAAGTGCCGCCGAAGCTTTGATGACCAAAAAATCGCAAAAAACTAGCCTACAGGTTATTATGGGTCCATTTTCACCTATAAATAACCCATTTTACCTCAGGCTTATGGGTCGAAACTCTGATAATTTTGTTTCAAAACTATGCCCAAAATCTTTTGATCTTACGCCTAAGGTTGAGCTTGATAGAAGAGCCCTAAGGTGAGTCCATTTTGAGCAACCCCCATCCTACCAAACCCTTCAATCCAAAACTATAAACACAAACTCCTTCAAGATACACGTCAAACCAAAGGCGATACGGATAATACGACCTTCCGGTCCCCTATCTTCCTATTTCTATTTGCCCCATTACAAAACCAAGAAAGTTTGGGATTAATTGTACAACTTTACTATCTGAATCAGCATATACTCTGGGGGCTGGGCCTCGGGGCTCAGCCTAAATGTTGTGTTTCTTCTCTTTTCTCTATTTTATTTGCTTTTCTAATATTTATTCTCATTTATCTTTGCATTTATTTTCTTTTGCTATATTTGTTTATTTTCCTTTATTTTCTCTCATTCTTGATCCTATTTATGTTCCCTTAGTTAATGATGTCTTTATTGTATTAGGTTAGTTATTTCAACCTCTTATGTCCCTTTTATCTCTTTATTTGTGGGATATTTTCCTCTTAGTGGGTGTACTTTTATTTCTCTTGATTGGGTATTTATTTCTTTTCTTTATTTCCTTCATTTAATAGTATATATCTATGTTTCCATCATTTTCCTTTTCATTAAATAGTCCTTTTCTTTATTTTTGTAGCAAATATCCTTCTTGGTTTGTTATATTTATGTCTCTTCCTTTTTTCTCCCGTTTGATAGCATAGATTTTCTCTTCTCCCCCCAATTCTTCATCTCCTTTATTTTGTGATAATATTTTCTTTTGTTGTTATAACAATGACTACAAAACATTCTTCAGTCGCGACGGTGTCCCTCTAACGTTCAACATTATATCAAAAAGGATCGCACAATATGAGAGAACTAAATCTCAAATGACCGGTATTAAGCCGAGTGAGAATAAAAAATTTAATGAAACCTCAAAGAAAGTCCATCGAGCTAAACAAGCCGGGTAAACCAGATTATCCTCCACTAGGCAAATCCAAGTAATCAGCATCTACCAGCTGGCTAAGACCAGCGAGGAAACTAGAATGGGGGTGGTGACCGATACGACCTTACAGTCATCCCATCAGACCCGGAAGGCGCTTCACCCCATTGAAACAACTTTGACTGAAGTACATCAACAACTCTTGATAGAAAGAGGGGTCATTAAGGTAGTAAAACCTGGTGAGCCTGTTAAAGAGGCCAATCAAAATATGAGAATCTATGTTGACTCACTGTCGACTGGTGATCCTCCGCCAAATGTGCCACCACCATCTACAAGTACGAAAGTCCAACCATCGGATTCAAGGGGCAAAGCCGTGAACTACACCGTCCATGAAGAGTTGTATATCATAGACCCCTTCTTACTCATCTTTCTGTGCATAATACTGGCTACTCGAATGATTCCAAGGGAAACCATCCTTCAAGAACCTCTCATCTCGATGCCTGCCATTCATCCCCTTCAGAATCTCAGACATGGCATCAAGACATCATGATGACAATTACCCCAAAGATCTTAGAGGAGTTTGCCCTTCAAGAACCCCTAATACAGCCTCAAGACATTGAGATGACCCCTAGTGAGGAAATCGATCAAGATGATTGCATGTCTCCTAATAGCTTGGTAGTGATTAGGGTTGAAGAGGGGTATCCTACTCATAAAACAATCCAATTGGAAGGTGTGTGTGAAGATGTTGACTCATGGACTCTTACACCCTTATTGATGGGGTTATTACATCACTTACAAGACACGGTCAACACTTCAAGCCAACCCGGCTCAGAGGCGACACATTACAAGAAAGGATGGGGGATCCTACCCCTATGCCACAACCAATCACACATGACCCAACTTCTAGTGCTCAACCAGCCCAAGAGGGGACAACTAATAGTCTTCCTAGCACCTATGACCTTTCACCACACCTAGATAGGATCCTTGTTTTCATATCCATTATAGATCTGCTTATGAGCTCTCTTATTCACTGGTGCCAAATTGAGAGAGTACTCCAAAAGGCACATGTACCGCCCAACACTAGACCTGAACAACTTAGTGAGATAATCTCACAATTAACAGCTTCAACGCTCATTACCTTCAGTGATGACAACATCCTTCCTAACACTAATCGATACCATAAACGAGCCTTTTACATTACTTTCCATGTGGCCATGGAATCCCAAGGGTGCTCATTGAAGATGGGACAACCCTCAACATTTGTCCGGTTAGGACCCTAGAAAGAATAGGTATAGACTTAGCTTACCTAGAGCCGTCTCAGCTCACCATCACTGCCTACGATTGGAGTAAGAGATAGGCGGAGGACATTATGCCCAAAGCTCTTAGTGTAGAACCTATATCCCAAATAGTTATATTCTATGTTTCAGATATAGATTCCTCCTTCAACCTCCTCCTAGGACGGTCGTGGCTTCATGAAAATCTGGCCATAGCCTCGACACTTCACCAGTGTCTCAAGTTCCTTACAGACTAAGAGGTGATCACCAATTACCTTGACCACCCCAAGCTATTAATCTATTGGAAATAGACCCCATCAGGGGGCATCAACATCCCAGGACGTTTTGATGCACCTCTCGAAATATATGATGAGCCTTATTGCACCACTCTCACTCTCGTAACATGCAATCATGCTCTCGAGAACTATACTACGAACAAATCCAATTCTGCTACGATAAATACAAATATGGGTCACTCTAAGCCTAGTACATGCTTGTAACCCAAGGCTTTGAGGTCAGGCATGGCCTAGGACCCTTGGAAACAGGGGCAGTAATGACAATCACAAATTCTATGAATAAAAAATAAAAAAAACATGATTGAAGAGGGTTAGGGTGCTCACACTCCCTCTGAAAAACTATGAGAGGCCCGAAGGGCCGATCAAGTTCCCTTTCTCGGGAATTCAAAACCTTGATTCCATAAACCTTGTTCCTCCATCCCAACAAATGGGAGACATTATTCAATTTCCATACAATATTGCTCCCAGAACTTTGCAATTACTGGACATTGGACAAACAAGTATCGCCTCCCTACCCAATATCTTTAGCTCCACACATATCCAACTTCAAGTGAGTGCACACACCAACCAGTCAAGGACCATCTCGCCCAACTCAACTTGAGTAGTAGGAGAATTCCCCTAGATACAAGTCACACTCTCCTGAACTCTCAAGAGGGCCAAGGACGGAATTGGTCACTCGCTCTGATGACCTCAATGCGTTGAAAGGTTTCAAGCGATGCCAACAAACACTGGTGCCAAAAAATGGGTAGGCGCGGGGTATCCCCAGGCGTGCCACGCACCCTCGTCTTTTCCTATCACCTCATCCAGTCCTGTACGGGACATCAGTTCTAAAAATGACAAAAATCTTAACAAATCTAATAAAAAATTAGATTTTGTTGGAGAAAATGCTTTTAAAGATGTAAAAATCTCAAACAGGTATGAAAATCTTATAATGGAAATCCGTGGTGACGAGCCAGACCCCTCTATCTCGAAACAAACAAATACAGAAATCGAAAGTGATTCCGAGCTAGAAGAGCTTCGGTCCCACGTCGATCAATTCAATCATAAATTCGATCGTAACCCGACATTTGTCGTCGATGAGACATTGAATGTCAACATGGGTTCCGAGGACGACCCGAAAATAACCAAGATCGGGATTTCCTTGTCACCTGAAGAACAAGATAAGATGGTCAGCTTCCTCAAAGAATACCTGGATGTCTTTGCATGGTCTTATAGCGACATGCCTGAACTGGATCTCACCCTAGTTGAGCATCATCTCAAAGTACGGGGACGAGACAAATCCTATTAAACAAAAGGCTCGATGACTAAAGACCAATCATGCAATGTGCCGGAAAACCTAGCTCAACAATAGGGAAACCCTAGCTGGTTGAAGGGCAGGAAAATGAAGAAGAATAGGAAGCGTTAATGGCATCCTTGAGTTTATAATGTGGGAGATTCAGTTAGGGCATGACAACGAACATGTTTTCTCCTTTTAAAATATGTAAAATGTTTGAAGGGTTTGGGAGGAGAGAGCGTGAGAGAGAGAAGGGTTGAGAGATATTATTTTTTAAAAAAATATAGTCACGATATTTAGAGAGAGATGACTTTTTGGTTTTGGAGATAGCAGATCGTTGTCCGGTATTTCAAATACCAAACAACTATTTTACTTTACACAGTATAAACTCCACTTGTCCGATATTCGCATTATGAGACAGGGGTAACTTGGAAAAGGTAACTTTGGAAAAAAAAAAATACAGAGTGTAAGTTAGAAAAAATAACTTAGAAAAAAAAAATACTCAGAGAGGATGCCGCCCGTAAATTGAAATAAATGTGATCTCATTTAGTAATTGGACCATCCGTACTTAAATTTATGAAGATGCTAACAGGAATCTAAACTATATCCATCTCCGCAGATAGGAAAGGTTTCTATGCATAGCAGTATAGAAGTTTTATGTTCTAGGGGCAAAGTATATAAGTTTGTGTTGTCAGGGAAGCCCGTCCATATATATAAAGAGAGAGAGAGGCTTCTTCCAACGAGATACGTCCCTCTCTCTCTCCTCTGCTCTTCCCTCCTCTGTCGCCGTAGTGGTAAGGAAACCACGTCCTCAATCTCTCCTCTCTCTCACCCTGGTTCTCTCTTCCCTCTCACTTACTCTTTCTATGTGAGTTTCTGCCTGTCCAATTATCAATCGATTTCATAATTGGTCCCTAGCCCCTTAACAAAATCGATTTCATGAGAGGAGCCAACGCACTAGGAAAATCATGAGAAAAAACGCGCAGACCCCACTAAAAAAACCAAGAAAAATCCAATTGATAAAGGCTTGTAAGGGAAAACCCACTTCCATCATATGTTTTGATGCGAAAATGAGCAGGGAACAAGGGAGAATTAAGGCTTTTTTCTGAACAATAGATGGCTTGTATATGTAGGTGGAATGTGGGTTGAGTCTGGATTGGTTATTTATTTGGGGGCATTTCTTTTGTTACAACGAGCTATTTCATTGATGACCAGATACAAACTTTCTAAAGACCTTGGTGTTGCTAAAGACCTTGGTGATAGTGTTGGGTTTCTTACAGGGAGCCTCTCTGCAATTTTGCCACTACTGTGCTGTCTCTCTAGACTAGATAACGAGCTAGGGCATCCGATATCCTGCTCTCTCTCTAAGTTGGAGAACGAGTATTCCAGGTCTTTCATTCTCTCACTATGTACCCAGGTTAGTTGATCCGACCTATTCATTTCTCTTTACTATCAATTGATCCTGGTTGGTTAATCCTATCTCTCCCTCTCCTCTGAACTCCCTTTTATCTTTCTGATATGTTTTTCTCTTCACCTAATGCTTTGCTCTCTCTCTGTCTCGCCTGTGTTTTGCTTTTTGTTTATTGCATCTGATTTCTCTCTTCAGTCTTTGATTTATGCAATCCTATTGTCCTTCATGGCCTACTTTGATTAGCGTTTCCTTTCTGTGATTATATGTAGATCCTATGATCCGTTTGTGTTTTTTATTTGTTTTGCTTTACTTCAAAAAAAGTTATTTACTTTGCTTATTTTCTATGAGTTATTTGAATATGAATTGATGTGAGATCTAATATTTTGTTCTGAATGCTTCTTACTTGTGAAAAATCTTATGTTTGTTTTTCTACTAGGCTAGAAAACAATTTACTATTCTATGATGTTTGTATTTTACTTAAACCTGATTCCAGAATCCCTTTGATTTTTTTTTATTGTTCCAATAAAATTTTGATTAATTTTGAGGCTTTGTGGTTTTCAGTCTCTTCAGACAGAAGTTGAGTTATTTCCTAACTGTATTTTTTAATAGGAATTTCTGGATTCTATTAATGTTCTTGGGATTATCTCGCTCTGCGTTCATAAGGATATTTAGAAATGCTGCTAATGATTTTGGCTTTTAGAAAATCAGTGTCTCATGGGAAATGGGTACCCCTCCTCCTCCTTTTGGTCTTGATTAAGAGCTGTTATTTACAACCATTTGATGTGAAATCTGATAGCTTAGGTGTGTCACAAAGTGAAAAAAAAATTCATTTGTACTTTGAGCTTGGTCAATGAAATAAATGCAGCCACCCAATTTCACATCCAATGGTCAAGATTAATTGTGACCACTTTGTACCAAAGGTAAATGGTCTCATTATATACTTTCGCTTAAAAAGTTGTGGATACTAAACTTTGGCACGTTTCATTTGGTTTGTCCCCATGCTTATGCATTATGATTCCGTCGTATTGTATATATGTATCCAAGGTTTTAAAGAACGGATCGATGACCCTGATCGGCCACCCCAAAAACCACGTTGGATCGGCAATCCGGATCGGAGAATTGGCCTGATTGGGTGGTTTCGGCCTCAAACAAATTTCAAAAAATACTAAAATTTCTTTAAAATCTAGCTTTTTTAGGTTTTCAAAAAAAAAAAGGTATTGCACTATGGTTTTTTTTGTTATTGTATTTGAAAATATATAAATAATGGTTTTTTATTATTGTATTTGAAAATATATTAATACTGAGAACCTGTCGTATGTCGAGTGTTTGTTGTATTAAGATAGTAGCATATCTTACCACAAATAATAGTATTGATATGCGGTTGTTAGGACGATCATCAAGGGAAAAATACTAACTGAATAATGCAACATGGATAACAAAAACTACATATCTCAACAGTACATCATCTTTTCTTTTTTTCCAGCAATTAATTTTTTGTATACAATATGTATTATACACTATAATATTAACCCCATTTTTCTCTCTCATTTTCCCCTCTCACTCTCTCTCTATTTACCCATATCTCTCCTTCTCTCTCTTATTACATTGGGATTTTTTCACCCATTTCTCTCTCTCTCTCTCTATATCTCTTTCTCGCTTTACCCTTCTCCCTCCCTCTCATTACATTGGGCATTCTTTTCACTGTCCATTTTAGACCTACGTCACAACATAGCCAAAGCGTCAAGGGGCAAAGGGTTATAAACTGCAGGGAAGCAAAGGGAAGGTCGTGGGCTTGAGCCACTTAAGCACATGTGGGTGGGTGGCTCATAAAATAGTATAGGTCATCCCAAATAGGGCCTTTTGATAGCTCAAAAACACATAACGAGGGGTGGGCCCCATGGTGGCCTCTTTTTAATAAAAAATTTCAAATTATAAAGGGGGGTGGGCCCCATTGCCACTTCTCTTTAATAAAAAAATTCAAACTTTTTAAACTGGTTTGAGGGGAACGTGCCCGGTTCCAGATATTACGGGGAACCAGATTACCTAGGACGATTCTCAATCCGGATCGGGCGATCCCGATCTAGATCAGGGATTTTTTTAAACACTATATCTATCATAAGAAATTGGCTCCTGGACTGTGAATATCAATCGTTGTAAGTGTGTTTCATGAATCATCATTTTAAGAATCTGCTAAGCCAAAGCAAAAGAAAGTATTTATTTATGACTTGTCTTAGCTTTTACTCTTTTACTCATCAAAAATGGCAAAGAAAAGAAATATTCTCTGTTTCTAGTTCCTTTTTCTTTTATTGTTCACTTTGTTTCTACTTCTGAAAAAATTAAAGAGTATAATCTTGTCATCCACTCATTTTATCATTTTGGTTATCTTTCCATATTAGTTGCATATGGGTTGTTGTAACGTATATCGATTGATGAGTTATGAAAGCATTTTCCTTTTCTTCATTGATAAGCGACATTTATGTACACTAGCAAAGGATAAGTATTGAGTCTATTTGAAAGATAGAGCTGTAACTTATTGGTGCATTTAATTTATGATGCTATTGTTGTTTGTGGAAAGAAATATGGTGGTTTTAGTATTATCAATATGCAAAGATACCAAGTAGAATTCCATTTCTATAGTAGATATGTTCCTTAGTAAACTGCTTCTCCAAAAAAATTTCTTGATATGCTAGCTCGTTGTGTAATGTGGGCTTATGTCTTGAAGAATATTTGGCAAATATTACGGCTTGTCACATGAGGAATATCCATAGCTTTTTACACTAGCATAAGCCTGAATGTTAAGTGGTCACTAAATGGTCATGTGTGTGTGATCAGTCTATGCAACCTGTAGCCCTCAATTGTAATTCGACATTTAGCATATTAACGTACGTGGTTGCTGGAAACTGATTCTTGTTCAGTTTAGAGTGGATTATTAGAATGGATCCCTAGTTTTATGCCATGGTAAATGTTATTCTTTGCAGTGTGCTACATGTATGTTTATGGTTTGAGCTATCAACTTTTCCTTTGATTGAAGCGTGTATCAAAATCTATGATAAACTTTTGGATTGTTCAGGTTCTTTTTTAATCCAATGTCTAAAATAACAATCGACTTAATTGGAAAATCTCAGCTTAATTGATCATTATCGTAGACTTTCCAATTCATTCTTTATTAAGAACAATGAATATCTGGGTGATTCAAAACTTTGTTACAAGTTTAACCGTGGCCGTCTAGGATGATTTAGACAAACACTCTTTGGGCTCCAATATTTTTGGGGTAGAAGTCCTCTCCATGGTGGCATAGTGTATGTTGTTTGCGTGGTGTATGTTGTTCATGGATGATATAGTTTGATTGATGAGACATTATTGGGGCCTGAAGCGATGTCAACACAAAGTTAGAACTTTGGAAGGATGCTCTAGAAATTAAAGGTTTTAAAATTAGCTGGACTAAGACAAAGTATATTGAATGCAAGTTTAGTAATAATAGGAGTAGAGACGAGCAAGCAGTTAAGATTGACGATGAAGAAATACAAAAAAGAATGCATTTTCAATATCTTGGGTCGATAATCCAAAAAAATAGAGAGATTGAGGAAGATGTCGTGCATAGAATTAGAATTGGGGAGGCGAAGTGGAGATCCAACCAGAGTTTTATGTGATCACCTCATATCAATGAAGCTGAAGGGGAAGTTCTATAGGACAACTGTGAGACCGACTTTGCTTTATGGGGTGGTATGTTGGGTGTTCAAAAAATAACATTTGGTGGTCAAAAAACAACATTCCCATAGGATGAGTGTAGCTAAGATGTGGATGTTCAGATGGATGAGTGGCAAGAGAAAAAGGGATAGAATTTGAAATGAATACATTCAGGAGAACTTAGGTCTCGCTCCAATAGGAGATAAGATGAGAGCAAATATACTTAAGTGGGCATGCCATGTGCAACGTAGACCCAATACACATGTTAGGAGGTGCAAGTTGGTTCAAGTGGAAAGCTAAAAAATGGCAAGGGGTAGGACAAAAATGACATAGTTGGAAGTAGTGAGAAAAGATGTGAAGACTTGTGGTCTCATTGAGGGTATGGCCCTTGATAGAGCATAATGCCAAACTAGAATTAGTGCAGCTGACCCCAAATAGTTGGAAAAAGGCTCTGACGATGACGATGATGTAGTCCTCTCCATATTTTTAACTTGTAATGCAACTGCTAAATATAGCATGGTTGAGCTTATATAATTTTAATGCTTTATCATTTATTATATGCTAATTCTCTATCTAAACATACATATAAATCTTTAGATATAGATTCTCGACTCCCCTTCCATACCTTGCCCCAATAAGAGAATCAAAACCAGCATTTGACCACCATCAGGATAACTACTTTGTCAAGCATGTGTTCAATGAGGTTGGGTTAGGGGGTAAAGATTTTTTTTTTTATGTTGTTATAAATGACTACATGAAAGCAAAAATATAAAACTATTCCAAATGCATCAATCTCCACTCTTCCCATATTCTATTTTTGCTCAATTTGGTGGATGAGGCTAGTAGAGTAGAGGGTGTTCACAAAATATCATATTCGATAAGCCTCATGTACCTATCACCAATGAAATTTTCATGAGATTAAGGGAGCATGAAATTTTTTCCACATGGGATATCCATACATCAAATTAATTTTTTAGACCAAGATGATCCATGATGTTAGATTCAACGATCTATGAGGAAGATAATGACTTTTATAGTGCATTGTTGGGCCTTATGATGTGCGATATAACGATCTATGTACGAGATAATTACTTTTTCAATAAGATTGATGGGGGCCTCACAATTGCCCAATTTGCATCCATGGTTGATGAATGAAGGCTAGTCTACAAAGTTATTGTACTTTTTTTGTTGATTTACTATTATACACAAGATTGTGATGGAAACAACATGTCCACACGTATAAAACTACTTCGAAGACATTAATTGTTCAAGATGTTCACTGGCACAAAAAAATTAAATACCTTTATCACGGATTTTGT